TGCCCATTAATGCCATCAACGGGATCCAAAATACTTTGAAAAGCTGAATTTTTGTAAACTTTCGGAACTTTTTAAATCAATAATAAAATATGTATAATCTATTTATGTGTAGATCTTATCACAAACAGAAATAAATATTGTTAATAGCATTAAAAATCTGTAGTAATGTATATTTATTTTTGTAGATTTTGAGACAATGAAATATACAATCAACTATCGTAGACATACTTATAAAAATCTACTGAGTCATACATTCACATACATAGTTAATGAGAACAAATACTGAGAATGCTGAGATACATAGTTAATGAGAACAAATACTGAAAAATGCAAAGAGTCAGAAAATTCTGGTCTGACTTCCCACTCTGATAAATTTCTTTCCATAACATACGAGGAAAATTCATATCTATCGTGCTTTTAATGGTAACCGTAATTCTGGATGAGTTTAAAAATAGAAATAAGCGCGTACTCATTTACGTTAGTGTCCATGCTACTTGCATTAGACGGCTTTGCCCTTGCTCATGTGTTAACAGTACGACGTTCACACTGTCAACATCATATTCGTTTTACAATCGCCAAATTACCGCACATCGTTACACAAAACAATTTTTCCCTAACAACATAACCCATTAGCCAGAGAGGGATGAGGATCTTTTCTGGGCTCTAACTTTACCCAGAACCCGTTTTTAGGCATTACGGCCGTGAAACCTTTCTTCAATTGCATCGGAATATTCGTTTTCGCTCCTGCTTTCACATCGAATCTGGCGAAAAGATAACAGAGCAGTACTTTCATTTTTATCATTGCGAACCGTGAACCGATACATATTCTAGGCCCGACGCCGAACGGCAAATATATATACGAGTTAAAGAGCTTCTTTCCATCCTCCATAAATCTGTCCGGATCGAACTTGTTTGGATTTTCATAATAATTAGGATCCTTGTGGATAGGCATAACCGGAACCCAAAGATTCATTCCCGGTTCCATCGTGAAGGGTTTACCACCGGGTAATGCTGGTGGAAGCTCGAATTTCTTTATACACACTCTGTCCAGAAACGAGACCAATGGGTAGAGCCTCATTGTTTCACAGATCACAGCATCCAAATACTTCATTCCGTGTATCACTTCGTATGTCACGCGGCCGTTGGTCC